AAAAACAAATGTACTTACATATATGTATGTATTTTCGATTCACTTAAATAGGCACATTAGTTAAAAAAGCGGAAATAATTTGATTAAACCGTCTCGTTGATTCACAAAAGTGCATAAACTGTCCAAAACCGCGGGAACACAAATAACGCATTTTCGTGCCAGAAACTAAACGTCAAATCGCAAAAAATTATAAAGTTCAGATTTGAGCAGTAGCGTACAGAATAACGTTAAATAATAATTCACCTGATGTTTTTTCACTTATCAATCAAAGAAAAACATAGTTAGATAGAAAAGGTAGAGATAATTAGTAATGAAAGGGAGAACCGTGTTGAAATAAAACAGGTTTTACTCTCTCCTGTAAAATTTTGTACTTTAAATGACGATATGTGTACACTTACATTAGACCGTACCACCTTACAAGCAAACAAAAAAGTCCGCCGTACACCCTTGAATCTAAAGTATGTTTGCAAGGAAGTTCTAAATAGCCTCCAATTGGGCTCAAATTGTCTTTTTCATTATTTTGCAACCAACCTCACTTTTTAAGATGGTGTCCATATTAAAAAGTACTTTTTTTCGGTTTCATACAAATTAGGTTCACCTTAATATGAGGCCTTGTGCCTAACTGACATTTCAAAAAAAGTTCTAATCTTCTTTTACTATTATATGTAGCATCAAGTGCATTGAACTTTATAGTAAAAGGCGGCCTTTATTTTTTATAGATCCTTCTTTCTCATATTACGTACAAAAATATACATACATATATATGTTTATTACGAAAAAGGATCTGCAACGATTTTCGGACTTGCAAATTTGGAATCCTGTGACAAATTTAAAACAAATCTGCATTAGCAGAATGTTGGTACATTTTTGAAAAACCTATTCGTGTTTGAAGGTAACTGAGAACACATTTTCTCCTCGAGACAAGAAAATCGATTAATCATACATATTTTGAGATACGTTTGAAAGAAAAACAAAAATTTACTTGCAAAATACCTTAGACTCAGTTGTGTACTGCAATTTTTTCCCGTTGCGGTCTACTGTCTTACATATACATAGATACATATGTGTGTGTAATAAGAACAGTTTGGTATTCATTTGTATGTACAGAATATTTAAAAAACTGAAGGTTGAAGTTTCCAGAGCACCATTGTCAACATTTGGTAGCATCAACATACCCATTTTTCTTTACCTTTGAAGTAGTATCACCATAATTAGAAGCTGGCCTCACAATATGATGCTGGACCCGCGCTAAACTTGTCAATATTTACAACTCGTTTCGTTTCCTTCTCGAAAGCTCGCTGCATTTACATACTAAATTTATTAAAATTCTGAAGACAAAATTTGCCTATTCAAGTGAAGCGGGGTGTACATATGTACATATACATGCACATACTTATGGTAGTAGGTATGCAGCAGCCATAAATACATATGCATGAATGTATGTTTATCCATGCAGGCATTGCTACCTGAATGCATTTTTCTTCTTCCTAAAGATCTTGATGGGAGAGTATAACTTCCTTATAACCATTGTTGTGAGTTCAACCCCCGTTTTCAGCTCATTTCTTAAAAAAATGTTAACAAAGGCAACCTTAAGATATTATGTATGCGTGTGTGTGTGTATTTAAGCGTATTTTGAATACCTAAAAATATATTGTACTTATGGGCATACATACAGTATCGGTCATATCTATAGCACGTCATTTCAAAGTGAAACTACAAAAAAGCGCAACAAATTTTCTCCTAAATTTCAAACTTTTTTCTCGAAAGTTTTAGATTTTTTTCGAGTACACAGTGGCTGCGTTTCTTTATACATTCCGGATAATCTCATTTCACAACCGGAATAAACAGAATACGTTTGAAATATACGTTAACATATCATCAGGAACGTTCTAAAGAATAAGTAAACAAAAAAGTTTATTCCAAACGTTCAGAATGAATAAAGAAATGCGGCCAGTTTTTTAGCCCCTTCAATTTTAGTCTGATAATGTGCAAATTTCAAGTGGCTACGAATTACCGTTGATTTTTTAGAAATTTTTTTGTCGCATTGGCTTCCATATAATTAATAAACTCAATTTATTTGTATATGGAAGAGATCCCCAACACCTTTGGCGAAAAAATTCTAAAAAATCAACGGTTACTTTTAGCCACTTGAAACTTGCACATTATCAGGCTAAAATTGATGGGGTATCAAACTGAGTATTCAAAAAATTTCCAACACTTCGGAGAAAAAAGTTTGAAATTTGGGTAATAATTTGTTGCACTTTTTTGTAGTTTTCTACAAATTGTTAAACTTTGGTTTATATGGGTTTTATTAAAGAAGGAACTGTATTTTAATTGAAAATTCTTAAAAATAAATAAATAAACATAAGTGCCACACAATATCACTTTGAAATGGCGTGCTATAGATATGACCGATACTGTATGTATGTATGAACATATGCAGATACATATATGTATCTATGTACATATGTCGAGTCTTAACCGCCATAAAAATGTAAACGAAATTTTTTCACAATTTTTTTTTATGCAGAAATGCATCTAGATGTTCTGGGAACGTTTCTGCTTCAAAAAGAGATTTTGAAAAAAATGTCGCTAACCTACATACATCTCTTCAACGGTTAGGGCTCGATATTTACATACATACATACTTACATACATATGTATGTACATACATTCTTTGTAGGTACAATTCTTGCAAGATCTAATTGTAGAGGTAAAGTATGTATTGTACATTTATGTAGTAAGTCCACATTGTTGTTCTAGGAGTATGTCCTAGCTCTAACAAAATCGTCCTGCCGCATAAAAAAATAGTAGAAAATATGTCGTGAACTATAATCAGAGTGCCAACTAAAATTCAGTGGGATATTTTAAGTACAAATGCGTTAGCTATCATTTCAGCTGTTTGCTGTAAAAAAATTGCATGAAATAGGCAATTAACAAGGAGTTCAAGTTTCATTTATGGCAACTCTTAAAATTATCAAAATCTTAGTTGCATGCAAATAAATACGGCGTTACACATATATATATATATATACATATAAGGATATATGTAAATTTATGAGATACAGTTTTTCCATGATATAATCCCATTCTATATGACCTCATTTGAGTAATTTTTTTTTATTGTCATATAAATTTTTAAATTTAGTTATCAAGCTTTTAAACATTTGGAATAGTATACTTACTATATACCTAGATAAAGTAAAAGAATTTTAAAATATTTGCTTATAGATAATGTATTCATTAATTTTTGTAGGAAATAATTATCTTTCATCTGGTAACACTTTCCCTTTATCGTTCTTTATTCCGAATTTTAGGAAACGACCAGAAAGCTACAAAAGAGCAACGAACTGCCGTTGCGAATTAACGAACTGAATACATTTTCGGGTGCAATTTTTGCCAGAAAATTTCTTATACTTCTACTAATGTATTTACAAAAACACTATAACAATGCATTTTCCCTCCACAACGGGAATACACAAAGACAGTCTCCGCGCCAAGAAACAGCTGCCTTTTAAAAAGAAACCGCCCTGAATAGGTACTACTTTTTCTGCCTGAGCGGAGGAATATTCCTACTCGTTGTTCTGCCAAAGTATAAATAGAAGGCTGCAAACATGGAAATTTCACAGTTGTTGGCGAATAGTCGTGCAGTGCGGATCGTTTTGTTAAAGTGAAAAAAAGTAAAAGGAGATACATACATACATATATTCCAGTGTGACGCAGCAGTGTAGCAGATCTGAGCTGAATCATCAATGTCCAAGGCCAACACTAATGTGAAGGTGTGTGTGTGTAACAGAAAAGTATAGATATACATATATAAAATTAAGACAAAGGAACGCAGATGAAATTAAAGGCATACAAAAATACGCTGTGAAAGTTTAAAATAAACTAGCGTGCAATAAGATTGTTACAAAAATCTTTTAAAGCTAAAAATGGTAGCAGTTTATGAAAATAATTTTGTTGAAGAAGACCCAACAACACTATGTGGTTGGGTGCGTAATTTCCGTATAAAACGATCACAAATGAAACGAAAGCTACGTGGCAATTTACGTGTGAATGCAATGTTAAATACGGCATTGCTCACAGCCGAAGCTGAATTGCGTCGCAAACAAAGGGAACGTTTTTGTCGCTGGGCGGAGTTTCAAGCAAAATTGGATGGTAATTATACCACCAACACTTATATAAAGGCCGATATGTCTGACGAAGAAGAAGCCGAGCGACGTGAAAAAATCGATAATTTGTGGAAAAGTGAGCTGAGTGACCTGGATTCATTTATGCGTTCGTTGAGTAGTACTAATAGAATTTGTGATGCAAAAACGATGGCATATGAGAATGAATATGATGTAAAAAGTGATAATTGCAATGTGCTACATACCATTGCAGTAGTTAGTTGATAGTTGTTAAAAAATTTGTCATGTGATTTATTATGTAGCTGATGATATTTGTTGCAGATGTCTAAAAACTGTATCTATGTATGTATATTTAGTATAGTTTTATCATGCAAGTTTTTCATTTGCAGTCATCGAAGCATCGTACAAATACTTCCACAATGTGAAAAACCGAGAGAGTTGACACCATTTACTGGTAGGCAAAACTAGCAAGCCTGGGCTGGGCATGCCCCTGTTCTGGGAGCCTGGTGTGGTGGTGCTGCGCACGCACGACTGATGTGTGGAAGATTAGCTCAGATGTTGCTTAATCGGTTCGTAAATTTATCATTTACACAAATATATATATCTTGCGATGTATGTATGTATCTATATATTATACGTGAGTAGACTATTTCACAAAGCGAAAAATGTAAAGCCAGACGCCATTTTGTTTTACGTAACCGCCGTTTCGCGTTCTCGTTACTCGGCGGCCATGTTGGACTCCGAATAACGAGTGCGCATTAATCGATATTTTTGTTGCATGGTTATGAAATTATATACATACGTACATAGCTCGAAATTTAATTGATTCCAAGATTTTTTTTTCAAATTTCTTACAATAATTTGGCATATTTTTGACAAAATTAATGGAACGTGTGAATTAAATTTAAAAAGCGAAGTTCCAATGCTTTTTTTGGTAGCTTTGAGAACTTGAAAGTCCAAATTACTTTGCTGACGACACTGATTTCCAGTGTGTATAACTGTGTCCAATGCAATGCTTTCCTTGGTGTAGAAAATTTAAGTTGATTCAAACAGCCTTGCTGATTATTCTACTAACTTGTTTACGAAGAGTTTTTTAAATAATTTGGCATATTCTTCGAAAAATTGTTGGCTCCTGCGAATTAAATATGAAAAGCGAGGTTTGCTGATGTCACTGATTCCAGTGTGTATAACAGTTTCCAATGCAATGTTTTATGTTGTTGTAGAAAAATGGTTGATTCAAACAGCCTTGCTGATAATTCTACTAACTTGTTTACAAAGAGCTTCGTTATAATTTTTTTGAAATAATTTGGCATACTTTTCAAAAGAATTTAATCATTTGAATTAAATATGAAAAACGTAATTAATTTGCCTATGTCACTGATTCCAATGTGTATAACAGTTTCCAATGCAATGCATTGCCTGTGGTGTAGAAATGAGATGGCACTAGCAGCTTTACTTTTTCGCTTTCGAGTTGATGTAGAAAGTACGCAAGCGTGATGAGTACACGTGTAGTACCTGAAAAGTAGGTATGATTCATATTGAATCAATTGTGATGTTCCTAGTAAATAATTATAAATATGTAAAGATTTACTCGTTTTAGAAATTTTATTCCAATTTTGTCATATCAAAATAGGCAGAACTGATTTGAAAGAATAAAAAATAATTAAAATTGTTAAAAAAATTTGTAGTGTAAATTTATTTTCCAAGCTGCAAAATTACCACCATAAATGCAATTTTGTTTTACAGTTCGTTTTTTGGCGATTTAACGTATGACGTAAATCCATCCAGTCTATGGTAATGTGAAAGTTATGATCCAACAACAGAGTGAGTGAGCTAAAACAGAGGGAACATAGAAATTCTACACAAATTGCTGTGGTTGGTGCTAATGTACTTCGGATCTATCCGGAATGTGAATGTGGCGAAGGCGGTATGAGCTACCTCGATGTACCTACTACAGTTGCAGTTAGTCTGGTCAGTTCAATACGTGCACCCATATCCAAAGTGAAGGTGACATTCTGCGAGAATTTGTAGCAAAGCGTATAGCAGCTGGGACATCAGTTGTAAGCCATACTCGTCCATTAACCACGACAGTCAGCATACACAGTGTTAAGAATGATTATCAAAGAAATGAACAAGAGGAGCGTGGCGGGGACAATATTAGCCAACTACCATCTATATCTGATTGCGAATGGTATACACAAATATTTGCGTAGAAAAATCTTTCGATTTCAGCAATACGAAACAGTTGAACGTGCCTGTTCGTATTTCCTTAACAAACAACACAAACAACGTCCAAAAGGGGAGTGTCTTTCATATGTGATGAGGCGAGTCTGCTCCTACCATAAGAGAAGTCTGAAATTTGCCCCTATTTAGAGATGACTGGTCGGTCGTCAGATACAGAGGTCGATTTTTGTTGTGAAAGCGTGCCGTAAGCCCAATGGATTTTCTCTGCAAAACTTACCATTATTTACAGAGTGTGGCTGAAATAGTTGCTTGGGCCTTGAAATATCACTGATAAAAGACTTCTAGCGCTGACTAAAGAGATGGCCTGTTTCTCCATTTTTCGTATTCTTTTTTTTTTCGTTCTTCGTTTCTTTCCTCTCTGTTTAAAATTTTGTTACAGCGATACGACGCAGTTGAACGGTTCCTGTGTGTATCGAGTCGGTCATTCATATTCATCATACAAATCTCTGCAAACACAACTTCCTAACCGTTGCGTATATTAAAGTTTCTGGCATAAACAAGCTGGGTATTGAGGAGAGCGTTGTGGTCTGTTAAGAGAAGCCAACCCAAATTATCGTAGACTTCTAACACTGCACGGGCAGATGGATTTGAGTATTTAAAAACTACAAATCAAATAGTTTATACTCATTTCGAGAAAAATGAGCCATCTAGAAACTTTTCTTTTTTGGTTTTTACAGCGATACACCACAGTAATTTATGCTTGTGCGTATCCTGGCGGTTAAGACAGCTGTTGGCAGTTAGAGCCTTCATGCCTTCACCCATTAGAAACTTCGAAGTGGTGAGGTTAGGTACAACATATCTTGCACTAATTTATACCATTACAGCATCAAGAAAGGGAATCCAAAACATGACCAACCATAAATTATAGGCCACCAGCAATGGGTACTCATCGAACGACCGACATACCAGTGGGTATTTCAACGGACTTAACTATTTTAAAGTGATTTTCTTTTAGCGATGTGACACAGTTGAACGTGCCTGTGTGCATCTGGGGTCCTCTGAGCACAGCGAAAGATTTAATAGAACTGCACCAATTTATACCATCAGATTGTAAAGCGTTGAGAGCAACACGACATTGTTCCGATCTTTTTCGCTCGTAAGCACTATTGCAAATTTTCACTTCACTAATCCATGATTTGTAGGAAATAATGCAACACAGTTGAACGTACCTGAGTTTGCATAGGATATCATCAATACAGCAATAATATATATGCTTTATTTGGCAAGAAACTTTAGCTATTAGCCTAGCTTGTAAGGACGATTTAGCCAAGATTTTTGTGCTGGCTAAGACTTCCGTGCACACTAAGCTGAAAGCTTCAATTTCTGCTCAAATAATACGCGCCTAATGTTAAAATCTGGGCCTAACGAAAACACTGACAGCAACACGACATTGTTCAGAACTTTTTCGCTCGTAAGCACTATTGCAAATTTTCTCTTCACTAATCCATGATTTATAGGAAACAATGCAATACAGTTGAACGTACCTGAGTTTGCATAGGATATCATCAATACAGCTAAAATCTTAAAATCTGACGTAATGATCATGGCCACAACAATACATAGAGAGCAACAACCATATTGTTTCGATCATATGCGATTGTAAGAACAAATACGATTTTCTTTTCACTAATGATAATTTGTAGGAAAAGATGCGACACAGTTGAACGTGCCTGCGTGCATCTACATAGAAACATCGTACGACCTGAGAAGCTTTTCACTGAGAAAATTTCACTTCCCCGTAACACCATATTGAGCGCAAGCAACACAAATTGTTTAAATCTTAACGACCGTAAGACGGATTCAAATTTTCTCTTAACTAATGCATACTTTGTAGGAAGTGTATTCCACAAACCACGTTGTATATTCACTGATTCAGCAACACGACCTACAAACTTAAGTACACCAGTGAGAAAACGTCGTAGAGAGGGCATCCTAATGTTTAAAAGTGGCAAAGGCAATCGTGTAACACAGTTGACCGTACCTGAGTATGCATAGGAAATCATCAGTACAGCAATAATAGTAAAATCTAACGTAATGATCATGGACAACACGAAAATATTGGGCGCAACACGACATTGTTCCGATCTTGTTTGCTCGTAAGGACAATTGCAAATTTTCTCTTCACTAATCCATGATTTGTAGGAAACAATGCAACACAGTTGAACGTACCTGTGTTTGCATAGGAAATCTTCAATACAGCAGTAACCTTAAAGGCTAAGCTAATATATGGGCACCACAAAACATTGAGAGCAACATCACACTGTTTCGATCATATACGATTGTAAGAAAAAATGCGATTTTCTTTTGACTAATGCATAATTTGTAGGAAAAGATGCGACGCAGTTGAACGTGCCTGCGTGCATCTACATATGTAGATACAACGTAAGACCTGCCAAGATTTGAGAATTGTGTTTCCCGTAGCACCAATATACCTTATTGAGAGCACACAAACTGTTTGAACCTTATCGATCGTAAGGCGTATGGTAATTTTCTCTTAACTAATTCATAATTTGTAGAAAGTGTCTATTCCATCGGCGTTGTATTCACTGATTCACCAACAAGGCTGCAATCTAAAGTATACCATTGACAAAAAACAAAAAAAAAAAACGTCGAAGAGAGGGCATCCTTATGTTTAAAAATGGCAAAAGGGAATCGTGCCAAATTACTAGATGATTGCTGTTTTCATCGGAGATAGGTAGATTTTAATATCTGCAGTAATATTATTTTCCAGTTCCTAGCGCAGAAGAGTTGAAACACCAGGCCATGCATGTCTAGGCGTATTTGGCTCGATTGGGGGAAACACAAGCAGAAAGTCTTACGCTCCTAAGTACCTACCAATCATCTACTTATATCAAATGTTTATTTTTGAGTTGTGAACCACACACACACACACACACAAAAAAAAGAGAAGCAGATTTACATATTTTACAGCGGTACGACGCAGTTGATCGGTGCCTGCGTGTGCCTAACTCCGTTGAAAGTTTCCACTGGCAAAACAACATTTGTTTAGCAGTTAATAATAAGCCAACTCTTTGGAAATCGCTGAATATGCTGGTTCCAATAGAAGACCCGTTGAACTAATTTGCAAACAAAGAGTAATGTACAATTCCT